ACATTGTCAACTACTCACCACAGATTGGTACAAAAGGCACATATAATTTAATAATTTTATTTAAATTGAATAATCAAGGCAGCCCTAGTTAGATGTTTGGCTCAAGTCAACTGTGCAAGTGCCTCTCAGCTGGGATTGAACCCATGACCTTTTCACACCTACACAAGTCTGACTACTGGGTCACCACCCATGTTCAGCTCAGAGGCACTCGTCCAACACACCATAGCTGTTGCTTACTACATAAATATGGGATGAATTATGATGGCCTTTATGGAGATACCAGCAGCTCTCCTACACATTATTACAAATACACAGCAACACGTATACACACAAGTGCATCTCATTTCAACTTGATCTAAATGAATTCTTACTCCCAAACCAGGCTGAGAGAGTGTCTTAAAGCACACATCTCCTGTCCTCCACTCTGCTACACTGAACTGCATGAAGCTGCTGGATTATAATTATTAATTTATAGCGTCTTGCAGAGTGATGCCTGTGTTATCATGAGAGGAGCTCTTATTACCTAATATGCACAAAAAGGAAAGACCAAAATAACCCTAATATCGCATTTGGTCATGAATAAGTAAGTGATTTGGTCTCTGTACACTTGCGTGTCGACTTTTGATCCTCATGAGTTCAAAGCCTGACAGAGATTTCGTAATATTATTAAAATTTCATATTAATTCAAACAAATTTGCCAATCAAATACTAAACAGGGCAAAAACATTAATGGAAAAATTCAGTTTCTTAATGTATTTATTGTACTGTGTGTTTTTCTTATTTAATTTTACTATTATTTTTTCTTATTTTATTTACAAAGCACTTATTCTTTCATCCTTTTTGTGATATAATATGTGCATTAGTGTATTGTTAAAATAATAAAAAAAAAACCTTTACTGAGTTTAAGCGTCTTACCGCTCCACCAATCAGAGGAGCAAAAGGATCAAGCTCTCCACGCGGGAGAGGAGTTTCCATAGCAATGCAAGAGCTGCGGTTGCCCAGCAACAGCGTCAACTACGACAAAGTTTAAAAAAAAAGCACAAAGCAAAAACGAAACCTTCAAAAAATCCCAAAATAATTATGAACTTTTTTTTTACTTTTATTGTTCATTAATTCTCTTGAGAAATGAACCAACATTTCAGCCACATTCTCCCTGTTGGAGAAAAATAACAAACAACCAAACAGAAAAAAGGCGCGAAAATCCTTTGAAGCAGCGCTTTTTATCCCTCAGAAAACGCAGAAATAATTTATAAGTTTTTTTGCAGGACATGCTTTCTCAGCCTGGGAGTAGAAAAAAGAGTTCAAACTGTAATATCGCCTTCTTATGTATGGAAAAGACAAATAAGGAAGCAAAAAGGCGCGAAAACATGGTCAGAAATGGAGCCTAACTGGCTAACTTTGAGCATAAAGTTCTTAATCTAAGAAAGGAACTCCGATTTTACATTTAAACAGCTTCATCTCGTCAGAGAAAACAAGAAAGTGGCTGATAAAGTTGCCAATCTAAAAAACGTTTAAAATAGTCTAGCCTAGCATTTGTTAAAGGGGAACTCCACTGATATTTCAAAAAATCTACATACTTAAATGGTTGACATGTAAACAGAGTCATTCAGAGTGGTTTGGTGTGAAATGCTCTGTTCTAGAGAAACTTGCAGAGTCAGAATAGTTCACAGTGGTGGTGATAGGAACCAGACATCCACCTCTAAAAGGTCCCTCACAGAAAGATACTACATGAAATGGTTATGAATGCACTGCCTGAGACACTGTTTTATGATGGTTTCCTGATCAAAGCTTTGGTTTAAATTGTATTTTAACTCATTGGCGGAGGGATACATGCAGGGTGTTATGAGGCAAAATAGTACCCAAAGAAAACTTTTTTTTTCAGATTTATGAGTATTTTGCCATCTTCAAAATTACATATAAAAACTCACGTGTAGATTCACTGGTGGTTTGGGAAAGTAAATAAAATGGCTAAATTTGTGTTGTAGACATGACGTCTGGTTCCTATCACCACCACTGTTAAGTAATCTGAGTCAGTCATTTTCTCTACAATAAACCATTTCACACCAAACCACTCTGAATTATTTTGTTTACATCTTAGTGCCTGAAATATGCAGTCAAATTTTGGAAAATTGGTGGCGCTCCCCTTTACGCACAAGTACAAACCGTCGTATCACCGCATTAGAAGCTCTGTAAGAAACAAAATGTTCTTAACTTTAATGTCTATTGACGTAAATGTAACTTTAGGCCATTTCCAAATGATCCAGTCGATACTTAATATTCAGGCAATACATTTAAACTGTTCAAAAATATAGAGGGTAAAAATGAATTTACGCTCTTTTAATATGACGGTTTCAAGCTGCCCCCCGCCCCAAGTTTCCACTTCTGAGAAAAGACCCCAAACAAAGCGTTTAAGAAGCCTAAAAGTCCTGTCAGCTGTCCACTTTTTACCTTCGATGCAGCAGATCCTCCACAGGCCGGAGTGAGTGAGGTCTCCTTTGGTCTTCTTGGGCTGCAGCAGGTTGTCCGCCTCGTCAGTGCTGCTGTTGGTGCTGTTGCAGATGTGCGCGCGCGAGTAGAGCCAGTAGTCCGTGCCGATGGCCACAGTCATCAGGCTGAAGGCGGCGAACGCGCCCAGCGTGGTCAGCACTACCTGGATGCCCCGGTCACACCAAGCCATGGCGCATCATAGTCACACGCGCGCGCGCGGGGGTCCCGGCTGGAGCAGAGTGGGCATAGTGGAGGCGCGAGGCTCCGCGTGGCGTGCCGTGCATCCCTCCCTCCACAGCCAGCGGGAGGAGTGTTTTTATGTGTTTGTGTGTGTGAATATGTGTGTGGTGTCGCTTTGCCCACTACTGTGGTAGAAGTGGGCAGTGTGTGTGTGTGTGTGTGTGGAGGGTGCAGGCAACGGTTCCACAGCAACGTGGCACCACCCCTAACACTCCATCAGCCAATCAAAACAGGCGGTGTGTGTGTACGTGTGCATAAGTTTGTGTGTGTGTGTGTGTGTGTGTGTGTGTGTGTGTGTGTGTGTAGTTTGCGCATTAAGTACACCTCCTTGTATCTATACTCACTGTCCATTTTATCAGCTCCACTGACCACATAGGAGCACTTTGTAGTTCTACAGTTACAGACTGTAGTTCATCTGTTTCTCTGCATACTTTGTTACCCTGTTCTTCAATGGTCAGGACCCCCACAGGATCCCCACAGAGCAGGTGTTATTTGGGTTGTGGATCATTCTCAGCACTGCACTGATGCTGACGTGGTGGTGGTGTGTTAGTGTGTGTTGCGCTGGTATGAGTAGATCAGACACAGCAGTGCTGTTGGAGTTTTTAAACACTGTGTCCACTCACTGTCCACTCTATTAGACACTCCTACCTTGTTGGTCCACCCTGTAGATGTAAAGTCAGAGGTGATACCTCATCTGTTTCTGCACAGTTTGTGTTGGTCATCCTCTAGTCCTTCATCAGTAGTCATAGGATGCTGCCCACAGGACACTGTTGGCTGGATATTTTTGGTGGGTGTACTATTCTCAGTCCAGCAGTGACAGTGAGGTGTTTAAAGTGCTGAGTGAGGGCCTGTTTTTTATAGCTTACGGAGGCAAACCGGGGCACATGGTGACCAGGCCCCCGAAATCTTCTAAAATCTTTATTAGGCCCGTCATATGGATATTGACCCAAATATGCATCCGTGTCTCACAGAACTATTCAGTTTCTTAACAACATACAGTACTGTGCAAAAGTCATAGATTGCCCTTTCATTGTTTTCGTGTTTGTTTTTTAGTGTTAGAAATAAAGCAATAAACATATACTGAACATTGATTTACACAACTACATATCAGATGCTTTTATTACAGCTTCCATTCTTTTTAGGAATTTTGCATTCAGTAGGGCAAAGAAATATGCAGGGATATTAGTCAGGGATCAGTCGTCGAAGTTTGTTGCATTTTCTGCTTCTCAGAATCAATTTCAACTTCAAAACTCTCAATTTCACATTTAGGCTTAATAGTCTTTAAAATCTTGCATCTCTTTTTAGATGTTCTACTGTAAATTTTCTTCTTTATGTCGGTTCCCTTTCCTCAGTGAGGGCTTCTTGACAGCTACACTTCCTTTCAGACCCTTGGTGCATGTCACTGCCGAAAGTCTTGTTTTAGCCACACCCCCGCATTTTAGAGCAGGAAGTGAGACTGCATCCCTGTCTCCCATGGTCACATGGTGAACAGTTAGATCCCATTGTTTTGAAGTAAATGCATCCCAAAGTCTGAAAATCAGTGTGAAACATAAAGAATTGTCACTACTGAAACACAAGTTCTTTTTAGTCTTTTAATGAAAAATATGATGATTTTATGTATGTACAGCTGTTCAAAGCTTTATTTCCTGGTCATGTACTTTTGAGTTTTCCTTAAAATGAGCTAAAATTGTCACTACCAAAACATTTAGTAAAGCTTGGGTAGCGTTATGATTGTTTTGGTAGTTACAAAATGGAAAGTTCAATAATAAAATAAAACACCTTTAAGGAATAGGCCCGGGTTCGGCAACATGAGGCTCCGGAGCCACTTGTGGCTCTTTTTACTGCCCTGTTGTGGCTCCACAGCAGAATTAGATTTTCAGATAAAAATAAAATAAGCCTCCTTGGCAGTAAAATAAAGCTCTACTGTTTTAACAGAGTTTTAACAATAAATCATCTGAAACACTGAAGTTAATGTAGCTTATTTCAGTTTTATTATTATTTCATTTACCATCTTTTAACCTTGAAGACTGGCGCACAGACTGCTGGTCACCACAATAACACAGACAACAATCATGCCTAGCTAGTAGCTAATGAAAAGGCAAAGAGAAATATTTAAGAGGAATATTGATAATTTGGAGACGCTCCAAATCACTCCAGCTGATTTCCTAATACGTTCAATCTGCAACGAGAAACTATCAACACTAAAAAGTTGCAAAGGTGAAGTCAGATTCTCATTTGCCAGAATTTTCTTATTAAGAAAATTATTTTCTTATTTCTTAAATTCTACCTGAGGTGCCAGAATGTAACTGCTGCAGCATTTAAGGTGGAACGGGAAAATTCCAGCATGAAGCTGGAGAATGAGAAGCTGACTTCAGCCTCGTAAAAAGTCACACATTGAGAGACTGTTTACAAGAACCTATTCTACTTTTGAGGAAAAGTTTCCTGCCGGAGATGCAAGAAAAGTGGTTATAGCTGAGCTAAAGCTTAAGGCTTAAAGCTTAAAGTAAGTCTGCGTTTTTGTTTATTTTATATTCTTTAGCCTATACTAGTACATTAGCACATTTTGAGACATATTTACAGCCAAGATGGTAAAATGGACATAAAATGTTGTGGCTCCCAAGGTGGTTTTACTTTAGAGAAAAGGACAAAATGGCTCTTTTTAACATTTGAGTTGGTATAGAATCACTCAAAGGAAAAGGATTTTAGTCCAAATCCAAGTCTTAAATTAAACTCTCATGTTGTACCAGTTTGTTAGAATCATCCGTATATGGTGTGTGTGTGCTGAGTGTTTTTGGCTGATCCCCAAATGGAAAAAAAAATTTTTTCCCCCCAATAAACAGCAACTTTTATTTAAAAAGAAATCTTTTGTTTGCTGAGGTGAAAGTTAAAGTCAGGTTAGGTAAAGCACAGCAGCACTTACCCACACTCACACTGAAGAGCACAGAAACACCCCCCTCCACACACCAAAACACATTAGCGTGTGTGTGTGTTTGTGTGTGTATTGGAGTGGAAGGTGTCCACAGTTACCAAATCACACAAAGCCAGTCATGCACTGCTCACTGCGCTTATACTCATCCATTGAATCTGGGCATGAAGAACTAAACAAAGTTCTCAACGGGCAGCATCTCAGTGCCCACCCATCCTCTGATGCAAACATCCCACCACATTAGTCTTGTATCATTTGAATAAAAGCAGAAAAGAGTGTTTGTCTGCACGTCGACTTGTTTTCTCACTAATATATCACTGTTGTCGGAAGAAAACCTCATACCTCCATTTTTGTTGTTTTTCAGTTTTTGAGATAAATTGAAAATACTTGTTACCCTTTACATTGTATGTAAATATCATGATGAATAGACTAAAAGAAATGACCAGAAATGACTTGGAAAAATTTCTGGTTCCATTGACCTACATTAAAAATCAAGTAGGTTTTTTTCTTCTCCTGTAAAGTTACCATTTTGGAGATACGAGGTTTTCTTCCGACAACAGCGATATGCTTTCTGTACTGCCTGCTTTATCAGTTCAGTATCTATTGCCAAATGCTAATTTATAGTCATGATCATCATTAGCCTTCATGAAGTTATGGGAGCTAAATCCTCACCTCATAGTCTCCTCGGTCTGAAAGCTTCTGAATGATTGGTGGGGGGGAGCAGTGTGTGCTGAATTCTAATCAGCCTCTCCCTCAGGCTTCTCTCTCCAGCTGTGATGTGCCATGGAAGAAGTCTGTTTGCATAAGCCAGACAGTTAAATATCTGTATTATTATTAGACAGCGATCTTATACGCTTTTGAGTGAGAGATATGTGAGGTGGGTGTTTTGGGCCAGAGGTGTGTTTCACTCTGCGTTTGGCGTCTTCAGAGTGATTGGAGCAGACAGGACGAGCAGAGCCCGCTGTATGTGTGTTTGTGTGTCCCGTCCCTCTCACAGTGGCCTCCTGTTCCTGCAGTCCACTGGCCTGCTTCCAAGTGAAGACCCACAAACAAGCCTACACACACAAAAGTAGCCCTTTACAGAGATGGAGACTCATGTCAGCGACTCAGACCAGAGTTGCACGTTGACTGACTCATGACTTGACTCGGTTTAGCCTTTGAATGATTAGACCTGACTCAGATTAGTCCTTAACCGACCCTGACACACAACTCAGGCTCACTCTTAAGTGACTTGTGACTTGACCCTTAACTGACTCACCCTTAATTGACTCACCCTTAACCGACTCAGTTGGACACACCCTTAACTGATGTACAACTCGGACCGGACTTGCCCTTAACTGACTCGATCAGACACGTAACACTCAAATTGGACATGCTTACTCGACATGGCTTCAATGGACCCGGAACTTGAGCTGGACTCACCCTTAAGTGATTCATGACTAGACCGAGACTTGCTCTCCACTGATTTAACTTAGACTTACCTACCTGAGTCATGACTCATGAGTCAGGTAAGGGCAAGTTTAAGTCGAGTCAGTTAAGTCACGAGTCACAAGTCAGGTATGTGCAAGTTTATGTCGAGTCAGTGAAGAGCAAGTCTCAGTTTAGTCATAAATCAGTTAAGGCCAAGTCTGGGTCAAGTTGCGAGTCTGTTAAAGCCATGTCCATGTAAGTCACGAGTTAGGTAAGGGACTCTATCTTAACTGACTTGACTCAACTCAGACTCATCCTTAACTGATTCAACTTGGACATGCCCTTAAAGCTGCACTATGTAACATTTTGAGATCTGGAGACCTCTCTGGTGAAAATGTGTAATTGCACGCAGCATGCAGCGGAACATTTTGTATTGCCAGTTGTAACCCTCATGATCGGGTGAATCTAATGATTGAGAGTTAGCTGAAAGAGTACTGAAAAGAAACTTGAGACCTAAACATTGAGTCGGACCCTCTTTTTGAGTCTGTGCGTGTGATTTTACCTCTTATTGACCAGGGTATATTTTGGTTTTTCCATCTGAATGTACATGACCA